GTGTGTGTGTTAAACCCCTGCCGAGCAGAGATGCATTATTTAAGATGCTGTTGTGATACTTGTGCCTGCTTAAAGGTCTCAGCTTCCTTTTAACGCCATGCCGCATCAGCCCACCTCTGCCCCCACTTGTGGGGGGAACCAGAGTGGGGCCTGCTGGCGCTGGTCCACACATCACCTGGGAAAATATCACAGCAGGGGAGGAGAGGAAGTGAAATAGATAACCTTTGAGTTTAGCACACATTTTTGTGAACACACATTTTACTGCTCCACTTCATTGTCACTTCTGTGCTGACTTTAGAAATATTTTTTTATACTCACCTTAATTTTATTTGGATTTTCACATTTTGTGCATCCCTAGAGCAACCGGGAGAGGAAAATGAAAGGACTGGATGTCAGTTTGAGGCAATCACATGGCGTTAGACATGAGAGTTATTAAGTCTAACTTGCCCAGTTGCTCACCTGCTGGTGAAAAACCTTGTAATGGAGCCTAGTACTATAAATTGAATGTGGTTAATTACTCTTCATGCTATGCCACCAGCCGTGTGTGCAGGGTGAAAAGGAAAAGCTTGGGGAAAGTAGAGGGAAAAAGCGTCTGCAGAGGAACTTCAGGGCCCCTCATTACACTCTGCCCCTGGGTATTTTTACGCCTTTTATTTCCCATCTAATGAACTGTTTACATTTTTTTTTCTGCTTTCTAGGCGCCACAATTATTCGACTTGTCCTTGTGTCACTCGTTGCACCAGGCAAAAAGCAAGGAGGAGAGTTGGAGGGCATTGAAATGTGTATATGGATCTCAGTTTGTTTCATTTGAATTTTTCTGAGAAAGTTTTGTTTAATATTACAGAGACCTTAATTGGAGACTGATTTGAATTTATTTTGAAAGGTATTATTATTATTATTATTATTATTATTATTATTATTTTATTATTTTTTTGCAATTAATAACGTGTTTTTCTGTGAGTGGTTTATGAAGGAATTAAGAGTCGTCATGTTTATTTAACAAAAGTATACCATTGCGTGCTCATAGACTATAAAGGAATTGTACACAAATAAGATATCCATGTATTGGTTATAATTGAATTAATATCATTTGCTGCTCAGAGGATTATGCTGAACTGATTAGCATATCCGATATGAATTGTTATGCGTGCATATGTAATTATGTTTTGATGAGTAAAGAAGAATACTTTTTTTTTTTTTTCTGCTATCCATGTCAACAGAGGTAAAACGTGTGTTTTTGACAGGACACCAGCACCTCCATCGCCTCATTTGACGGGATGCGTGGAGTTTTTAAAGGCAGGCCACTTTGCATAAAGTTAAGATGTACCTTTTGTACTTTTCTTGTGTGCTTCCGGGAATAGAAGCAAATTCTCACCCAAGATAAAAAAAAGAAGTGACAAAAGACAGACCTTTCAAAAGGATTTAAAAAAAGCTCTTTTTTCCCCCCCTTTTCTGAGCAATAAGGTATCTTCTGAAAGCACGTATTCTTTTTTAGATTACAAAGCCTGATTAGTTGGTTTCGTCTTAAGATGCGGAGCTCTGTCTCCACGTACTGTAAATAGATTGAGTTAGTTTTAGAGCTTTTTTTAAAAATTATTATTAATGGAAAATAAGGTTTTTACAATAGACCAGATATCTCCTTTCTGACCTCGAGACTGTGCCTGTTGTCACTAAACACCCAAACTCATAATCAAAATCTGTTACTGTATTAAGCAGTCAGTATTGCACCTGCTTATATTTTACATCAAATGGGAAGGCAGTAGTCACTTAGGAATCTGTTGTTTTCCAGAGGGGGAATCCAAAAGCTGGAGTGTGTACTGTAGGTACAGGGAAAATAGCGGCAACACTTTCATTTCAATGACATTTTCCATTCTTTATACTTTCTTTGTTATCTACTCTGTTCTCATTGCAGAAACCCTTCATACATTCATCCGTAACAAACAGCTATTTAGAAATACCAAAAAAGCCCTGCATATGGTTTGAAGGCGACGTAAGCCTCAACATTCAAATCAATGCTTCTCCCAGGCTTCCTCGTCTCAATTACTGGTGAAGTCGTCTTTCCCCCTAAGTTGCACTGAAGCTCTTTAAGATGAAACTCGACTTAAATGGAATATGTGGGTGTTTTTCCTGGCAAAAAAAAAAGTGCGCGTGTGCCTGGTGTACAAGTGTACATGCTGTCGTTATATTGTCTTTATTGTCTTTCTGATTTTAACAAATCTGGAATTCCTTTTTCTTGTGCTTACACTTGCACTAACTGCAACACAGTGACCATTCAGTTACCTTGGTGTAGAAGGTTTACAATGCTTTACAATGCTGGAATGGATGGGTTTTCTTTTTTTTTTTTTTAAAGGTGACAAAATATGGTTTAAATTATGTTTCAAATGCATAAACATATGCATTAGGCATTTAAATAAAGGATGACAAGCTTCAGATGACAGAAAATAAATCAGAAACGATCTCATTAATTATGCTTATGCTCTCATGACCATTTAAATAGCGCATGTTTCGCCAGTTTATCTTGAACTGGCTGTTCCAGTTCATTCAGCATTAGAGCAATTAAGGTAAAAGTTAAATAATACTCAAAAACCAACTTTAACAGCATCTTTTGACAGAGTGCTCCTTTATACCGGTGTGTGTCTGTGTTATTTCAGACTGTGCTGCCAGTCTTTTTCTTCAGTAGGCGTTTAGTGGTTAGGTTAGGTCCCCGTGGTTGGCTATTGTTTGGGTGCGCTCTTTATGGGTTTTGTGGTCTGGATTGTCTATCTAGTCAGTAATTACTCCAGAGAACTGTGGCCCTCACCATCACGATAATAACAAATCACATCAGCGAGGAGTTTCCACTCAGTGCTCCAGATTATGAGGAGAGACAAATAAATAAAATCAACCGGCTCAGTTTTGATTGGTTCCAAAGCTATTTCAATCAAGCAGCTTGATGTCATCACTCCTGACGTTCGAATTGGCATTTTCAAGTTTGGTTTGTGCTTTTTGTCATGGTAGGCACCATTAAAGTGCTTAGTGCTATAGCTTCTTCAAACTTTTACTGTTAAGAAAGAGAGGAGGAAAGGATAGTGCCTTTGAGGGGGGAAAAAATGTCCCCACCAGGTAATTGGTGTTCCTTTGCTTATTCCCCGACTTTTGTTTTATTTACTTAGTCAATTACAATATAAATATAGAAAAATTGAAAGAATTTGTGCTGAGGAAAAGTGATATTTTCATTCCTCTGCTGGTGTTTGTCTTTGATTTTGCCCACCTCCTGCAGCCCACCTAGAAACCCTGTCAAGGCGGTGACAGAAAGCGAAGGAGGCTTAGTAAACACTTTCTGTGTCTGCTGCTGGTGTGTATTTAGTTTAGAGGGCATGCCAAGAGGCTGTTTTTCCATGGGTCGGGCGTCTGTAAACAAGCAGTACAACGGCAGCCCACTCTTCCACAATCGGAGGTGGCACACTCTGAAGTGTGTATGAAATGTGTGTGTCTGAGTGTGTCTTTTTGGGTGTTTTTTTTCTTGGGTGGGGGGGACATGGATTCCCTCTTATTCTAGCCTATCTGGAGACAGAGAAAGAGAGAGCGTGAGAGAGAGTTTGTGTGTGTGTGCGTGTGTGTGAGGGAGAGAGAGGCAACCCCAAATCCGATGGGCCGCCAATGGGTGATGAATTATTCCCTGTCTGAGTCACAGCATTGGTGTTATCACAGAGCCTGCCACTGCACTGGGATGACAGCAGTGACAGCCCCTAGAAAAGATTTAGCGCTGACAAGTGATACTTCCTCATAATACATCTCCCTGGCCCTCTACCCTGTCCCTGGTTCCTCAGCCTCTCCCTGCACACAGGATGGGCTTTTTTTTATCCCTCAACTTGTATTTGTTTAAGTGGGCAAGGTGTATATGTGTGTGTGGTTGGGGCTCTTTGCCACCACCGCTGTGGCATAAGTGCATGAGGTAAAGTCGATCACCTTGGAAGGAGGCATAGGCACAAACCCTGAACACTGCTTTGTTGCTGGTACATGTGCTGTAAGGGCAAACACACACATATACACACCCTCCATGTTTGATTCGGTTTGTCACCGAGTTCCATTAGGGGGCTCTCGTGTTTAAGGAATGCCTGTTGTGTTTTTGCATCAACAACAGTACTAAGCCATATTTCCCCACTTGTTTTCTCTTTTTGCTCTCCTCTTTTTCTTCCTTCTTCTTTTTGTCCTTCTTCTTCTTCCTCCTCCTCTTCCTCCTCCTGCAGAAAAGGTCACGCATTGCCTACAGTGATGAGGTGCGCAACGAGCTCCTGGGGGATGACGCCAGTTCTTCGGAGAGCCAGGTAAGGTGTTAATCAGGGGCCCAAATGAGACCAGTGTGGGTGGCTGACTGGCCCCCAGGGTGGGGAGGTGGGCCCCATCGTAGCAGCCATCGAGAGCTGAAACCACACCATTGTCACTAAGCCATGCGGAAGTAACACTGTTTAATGCAAAGCTGGGCTAGCAGTGAGCGGGCTCGGGGCATGGGACCAGTGTCTGGACACAGCCAGATTGTGACCAACGCACACAAACACAAGCAGTGCACCTAAACACAAATACACACTTAAACACAGATTTCAATCCAAAACCCCAGCCTCCCTGCTCCAACCGTCCCACAGCTGTTCTCCAGCCGGGTACGGACTTAGGATCATAATAGATCCTCATGATCAAGACACACAAAGACATACACACCCACACAAAAATGAACACACAGCCGCTAAATCTTACTCTCTTGTCTTTTTGTGAACTCCAGTGGTGAACGATGTGTTCCCTTACTGATGACTGAAAGAAATTGAAAAAGTACTCAATAAAAGTTATTTAGTCACTAAATAATTTGATCTGGTATATCATGTCAAGCTTCAAACAGAAATCTTTTTTTTTTTAATGGCCCTTTTAATCGTTTTATCTGTTAGCTATCAGTGTATTCACAATTGTTTGGGTTTGTTTTTTTGTTTTTTTTTATGTGCTATCAGTCCAGCCTGTTGAATCTGGGGATGTAAACAACATGAGCACATGAGCAATTTTCCTTTAACGTCAGCAATATTTACAAAAGATTTTTTTTACACCAGTTTTGAGGGGGGTTTGTATTAAGAAGACATTGCAGTTTTAATTTGCTAAAAATATACCACACTCTTTAAACTTAATTTTAAATAAATTGCTTCCAGTCAAACAGTAATACATCAGCAGCACTGCTCACAGCTGTACTCAGCCACTCTCAACTATGACAAAATGTCTTTTGACTAATTATATATTGCCTTTAGAGTCAGCTGTCTTCTTGCAGAGGTTACTGTGTCTTAACACACACACGCACACACACACACACATGCAAATAAATGCTTTCCACATACTAAAAAGAAGAAAGATGAATACATATGTGCACATTTAGTTTCACAGCGCTATGCGAGTATATTTAGATGATTCACACCCAGGCAAAGCTAAATAAAGTTGTCTGTTTTTTTTTTTCTCGTTTTTTTGAACATTTCCCTATTACCATTTCAATGATGACCCATGAACCGCGCATCTTAGAAACATATGTATCACGAGCCTAGATGTGTAATTGATATGCATATTCTTGGCAAATTAGCGAGACACAAAAGTGGCTCCGACATTTTATGCAGAAGTTAGAAGGAGATTTGCTGTCAGAAATGCCACATTTGAGACTCTGATGGGTCCTATCAAAATCTTGTCAAGGAAAAGCTGAAAATCCAGATCCCATTTCATTTCAAATCTTATTTCCCCTTCATTAAAAATGTATCTGAAATATTTAAAACGAATATTTGTAAATCTGAAATGTATAAATCTGAGAGGAAAATAATAAAGAAAAAGTTTAGGATTAATATTGTGGCATAGTACTATAAATTTACATTATAGGATTTTGAAAGCTGATGTTGGAATTTAATTAATAAAAATATTCTTGCTTTTATATTATTTAATATAATTGTATTTCCAAGTTAAGATAAAATATGTGGCTTTAATCCATGCATGTACAAATAACAGTAGCAAAGCGTGACATTTAAATACATGAACAAATCCAGCCATTATTTTTCGATCCTATTTAATAATAACATAATCATATATATATTAAAAATCACAAATCCACATATATAAAATAATATTTAGATTATTTATTGATTTTAAATTAAGAGGAAGACATTTTTAACTTGGGGAATTTAGGTCAAACATGATGCCCTTAAAAAATGAGCCAAAACATGTGATTTATTACTCTTCTTTCATTGTATATTCACAAAATGTATTTGTTGAATAGACTTCTGGGACTTAGAATGTTACATTTTTTATTTAAAAAACTCTTTAATGAATGGTGATAATGTCTGTTCAACTTTAAAAATTCAAAACTAATCTAAAACTGTCACATACACACAAACACACACCTAGAAAGGCGTGCACACGCACACACCCATACAAAGCCGAAGAAAGAGTTCATCTCGGGGGCAAAAGCAAAGTAAATAGATGATGTACATTTATCCTTTTTCTTCCAGGTGCCGTATTTGCCTCATTTTCATTTAAAAACTTGTGGAGATAATACTTGTCTTGGTCTTGCTGTGAGTGGAGTACTCGCAACTTCAGGGTTTTTTTTTATCTAACGAGACGGCGGTGATAGGAGAGGGGAAAAGATGGTGGGGGCCGGGGCAAGTCGGTCAATTTAATTCCTGACGATCTGAAAGAGGTCAGGATCATTTCATATAGCCCTGGCTGAGCAGATCATTACCAGTCACAAATCTGTTGGTTACATGGCAAGGATTTATAGCTAAGTAAATAGGGAACCGTCATAAGTTCTGAAAATGGCGTGTTGGCCCTGCGATAATGGCTAAAGGACGATTTAATAGAGTTCGGCATTTATTCGTTATCTGTATGCGGACAGAGACTGAATTGGCACTATCACTCATTTTTTTAATAATGTGGTAGGCTACCATTGCACATTTTTTTTCCCTTTCTGTTTCCTCTGCATGCAACACACGCGCGCACACACACACACACACACGCACACACTGTCAGCACACACAGACGCCACACACAAAGCAACAAATGCGCACACATTTTTCACACACGAACACTATACGGAATAGTTTCGATTTCAGTCACAGCAGAAGGCTTGGCCACAAGAGATTGTGCTGGTTTGAGCCGGCATGGACCAGATTTTACAGCCTACAAAGGAAGCAGATTACCACTTGTATCGAATTCCGTATTGGATAAAAAAAAAAAATCTTTTGTTTGAAAAAAAAAAAATTGCTGATTATCATAACAGAAAAATTGCAGCAGTGCAATTTTGAATACTGGCTGGCATCACAAAAACACAAGGAGCTACGCTCATGCAGGAGTAATTATACCATTTACAATATTCTGTATTTACTGCTGTATATCTCTAGAGCAACACGAGCATCACTGGCCAGAATAAAGAATGGATGCCAAAGAAAAAATAAAGCTAAACAGGAAGAAACGAGAAAAACAGCTCACCATGCCCCTCATATAGTTTTAACAAATCCTCCACAAGGACTTGCAATCAGTCAGGCAGCACAAATGAGCTAGAACAAGTTTTGTTTGGTATCCATTGACTGATGGCAGAGCTGTGGTGAGGGATCGCAGGATCTGATGGGGTTTTTTTCAAGCCCCAAATAACCACATTCACAGTGTCGTTTTAAACCTTGGCCTCTTCAATAATGCATTCTTAGCGGGAGTTGTTGCTTAAGTTAGAAAAGAGTGTTTCCTCACTAAGGTGCGCCTTGTTACTGCCGACATTTTCAAGGGTAAGAGCTCTTTATAAAAACATGGAGGTATACTTGTTTACCTCCCACATTACAGATATTGGCAATATTTTTTTTTTATTTGCACTACTCACTGAAATGTCACAGACATATACTTATGATAAGCAAAAATGATGCAAGAACTATTTTTGACATGCTTCTAAAATTACAGTGGGATATGCTGTGGCAAATGCAAGATTATAATGTGTGAGTTTCTTTATTTTTCAGTCAGTTTTTGTCGAGCACAGACTCATCCTGAATTCATTATTTATGACAAATTTCTTTGACTGTGTTTACTAGTTTTGTTATAAATACAGGAGAGGGAAATTTAGGGAGTGCAGTATTGTTTGTTTGTTGTTGTTGTTGTTTTGAATTTTGGTATAAGATAAATGTTAAGTCATAGTTTTAATTTAAATAGATTTTCCTCCTATATTGTTCACAATGATCCCAAATAAATAGTTTGAGTAATTGTGGCCCTAAGTCTCCTTTTTCAGCTACTACCTTTGTAATAGTGACCAATTAAATATTAGATTAAATTAATTAAAATCACTTTAAAAGGCTAACACATCAAAAATGCGTCCTTCCTCTTTCTCTTCCAAATGTGCTGCATTCCTACATGAAGCCTTCCTCCTCTGCAACCCTAACTTAAGAACAGGCCAGGGAACCAACCTTTTAATTGTGATTGGGCATAATTAATGGCAAATGGGATTACTGCCCTCCCTTACATGTCTGTTTCATTATCAGAGATGCAAGAATTTCCAGGACAGGGAATAGGAATAGCATTTCTTATTTACTTCACTTTAAATTTGTTATTCTCTTTCATGAAAAATGTATAGCTATGCTAAGATTCATTTTTCATGATCTATGGTTGTCCTCATAATAAGCAGTACTGTATGTATACACAATTGTAGCCTTACATGGCTTTCCATGCATACGCTGAACAATCTGCACCTTTAATGCGATTGATAACAGACATTAAATATTGACAGCTTACCAGCATTGATAAACAGCGATGCAAAATAATGTGCCTCAGCATTTTTATAACTCTGTTCCAAAAAGGCACACCGTTTCCTTTTTTTTGTTCGTTTTGCAGAGAATTGCACAGTGACAGATGAGAAAATTTCGCTCAACATTTAATCTTACTATAAATGTGCAAACCAGATTTTACTCATTCTTTCTTTTCTCTCGCTATATCAATTTCTGTAATGTGACTTCCTTGATAATCTCGGTTGATTCTGCGAGTCGAACGATCCATTCCCTGTGCTTGTTTAATGTGACAGCAGCAGGACTTGATCTTTGTTTGTTCAAAAAAAGTCAGCCCAAGCGGCGTGTTTAGCTCCGTTTAATGTGTTTGTCTTGTGATTTCCAAATGCTAAACATGCAAACAGATAAATCGTCAAGGTTAATTCTCTATCCAGCCATATGACTGTTTCTGCTTTTTTTTTTAATCTATCTTTCACTTTCTCAATCCTTCTTTTCTTCTCCTTTTTGCTCTCACGATGCAGTTGGTAAAGTTGCGTGAAGAGGTAAGTGCTTTTCTGATCTAAGAATTTAAGTTCTGCTTTCCGTATGAAACTACCTATTTGCCCTCCTTTCTTTGTTAGAAAATTAGAACCACTCATTTGGACACTTTCTGGATGTCTGATTGAACAGTTTAGAGGCCGAACCGCAGATAATGAATTTATTTAGGGCCAATCCCTCAAGTTCCCCCTCCTATAAATATCCGGAAGTGAAGATCAGATACTATTTCTGATGCAGTTGTTTAAGGGCAAATATTAGGGAATCAAAATCAGAGTTCCTTCAGTTATTGGGACCTACAACTTTCAAGAACTTGATCAGCTTTTGAGTTTTGATTTCATTTGGTCTTTTGATGATGATGTTGGAGAGGACTAACTAACACATCAATCCAAAATCTGCCAGAGGTGTTAATCTGGGCTGAAGGAATTCTGAAGACTATAGCATATGATTCACATCCTTTTAAAACTCATCAAGCCATCCACTGACCCTTGTTTCCATAGACTGTATGCAAAAGCCTTAAAGTTAAAGTGACAATATTCACCATGGTATTAAATTGGTTGGATTTAGTACACACATGCCCCCATCTCACTTCCTTCTCTCATATACAGGAAACTTTTATTGTAGTGACCAATTCGATTTTGTACCAGACAATAATCATGTTTAGTTCTTCTGCAAAGTTTGATATTGAAGTACAATGACTTGATTTTGAAGCTGGCCTCAAGTGGCCATTTGAGGAACTGTAGTTTGAAACTTTTAGTAGAAAGGTTGTGGATTATCAGCCTTTATAGCATATCAATGTACAAAACAGCTAAACTGTTGTTTTGACTTAGCAGAAAAGAAAAGTTAGCTACAAGGATACAACTTAAAGTTTAGATAACAGGATAATTCAAAGGTCTTTTGAATCTTGAATCGTATTCAGCTTAATACATTTAAACAAAATGGCAGAGGAATGGACAATAATGTGGAGGTTTTAATAGAAATATAGCGTCTCAGAAATGGAGGGAGTGCGCTTGAAGAATTTGATCAGTTCTTTATTCCACTCTCTCAGAAATCTTGCTATAGTGCTG